CACTCACTGAGGGATAAATCAGAGCTGATACTTCTGATGCCATGGAACTGACAGTGTATGTAGTGAGGAGCTCAGAGTTTGCAACCTGACATGCTGAGGTTATATCTTCTCTCCTGCTCCTCAGTGCCATGACCTTGACCAAGTGTTTACTCTCTGCATGCCTCATTTTTCTCACTTGTAAAATCAGAGGTAATGATAGCATCCATTTGATAGAGTTGTGATCATGAAATAAAAGACTCATGGAAAATTCTTATAATCGTCCCTGGCATAAAACATTGTCTATTATGATTTTTATTACCACGACTGACCACATTTGCCTTTATCAGCGCTTGTCGAAAAGTAACATTTTCTTTTAGGGAACAGCCTGCCTTTGGATATGTGGTTATATTTCATTATGAAATAATGTAAACTACTCTACCTTAGAATTAAATTCTCTTCTCGGCCTCCCGGCAAAGGTTAAGATCTGAATAAAGGCATGTGTAGCCAACAGGGATTCCTGACTTTGGTAAATGTCAATGATTTGCTCTTTTCTCCTTGGTGGATGTAACATTCTTCCAGGCCGCCCATCCTGGCTTAGAGCAGCTAAGCAAACACGGGAGGGAGAATGAAGCTGACTCTTGTCTGAGCTTTCCTGTCTATGTAACATGATTATTAGGTACAGTTCTTCTGCCTGCTGCACTGCAGCTTCCACATCCTGACAGCCTGTCTTCTCCAGGCACATGCGGCCCAGCTCCCCCAACAAGCTTTATGGATGTCTTTGGAGCTGAGAGTCCTCGAGGGACTTACACATGTGATAGCTCCATGTATCTGGGATTGGTGTGAGAGGGGTGTGGCTGAGCGGTTGGAACAGCTTGTCTAGATTGAAAAGAAATGACACAAATGTGGGTTCGACCTTTGGCTCTACATTGTGATCCCCCTCCCTTTTTTGGGGGGCCAACTTCCTCTACATATGTCATGGAGAATTGGGAGTAGGATGTCAACCTTATTTAGTAAATAATTATGTCCAGCAGTTTTATGTCGGACATGGTGCTAAGTGCTGAGAACTACGAAGATGAATATGACATTCTCTGCTCCCAGGGCATTTGTAATTCATCAAGGGGGAGAAATGTGTGAGAGGACAGCACTGTGTGAAAACTGTTTTCCTAGAGCTGAGCACGAAATGCTGCAGGTGGAGAGAAGGGAGGTAGCATTGATTGGAGAAAGGCTACACAGAGGAGGTTGCACAGATTGGCCTCTCGAGGATGGGCTTGCCTGCTGGAGAATGGCTGAAGAAAGATCTCTCTCAGCAAATGGGCTTTATGATAACCAAGGCACAGGGCTGAGTGTGGGGTGTCAGGGAAACAGCTGGTCTGGGGTGTCAGCTGGGTGTAACTTGAGGCTGGAAATGGAGGCGGGGCCTCAGAATGACAAGACCTTGAGTTTTCATTTGAAACGTATTGTATGGAATTTTAAATGAGGGATTGTCAGGGTTAGAATATGTACAGTAGAAGGATTCGTGTGGTGAGTAGGTTGAAAGGATGGAGGTGCAGACAGAAAGCAAGTAGTGCCACGCAGAAATGGCGAGGCCTGTTGTGTGATTGAGGTGGAGTAGATGGACATGGGGGACATTTGAAGGTCATTAGCATTTACTGAACAAAATGAGGGAGGTGGTAGCGAGGGTGGCACCTGGAGGGATGCCTACGTTGAGGAAACAGTCTGTGAGAGACTGAAGGGTGTGATGGAGGATGGAGGAGGATGTCCATTTTCAACAAGAGTGGTGTGCAGCTGGGGAATGCCTCAAAAGGGGCAAACAGGACAAGCCTGAGAAGAGGTCATTACACCGAAGACTTGAGGGGTCATGGCCCATCCTTGGGAGAATTTTTCCCCCCACTTTCCCCCTATTGTTACTAGTGCATTATAATCGTACATAATAGTGAGAATTGCTGTTACATATTTACACGTGCATACAAGATCATAATATAATTTGGTCAATATAATTTGGTCTCCATTCCCTCCCCTTGGGAGACATAACTTTAGAGGTCTTGCTGGAGTAGAGAAAAAAGCTGGATGCTCACCTTGTTTGAGCTCCACAAGAACATAACTAACACTGATATGTGTTTATGTAAAGGAAYATTTGCAAAAATTCCATTCTCCAGGTTCTTGGATCTAGGTAATCGGAAAGTTGGGGCAAGAGCCTCCATGGATCAGGTGGAGTGTGTGTGTCCACTGCCTTATAGTGCAGTCAGCCTCTGCATGGTCCAGTCCTACCTCCTTCAACCCCAGCAGGTGTGGATTCTGAGGATGCCACAGTAAACTCACTCTGTAAATCAGAGATTCTTCATCTGCTTCTCAGAGAACCAATCTGATATGATGATCGTTTCCGCTGCTGTTGTCCACTTAAGGCCCCTTAGCAGTGGGCTTCCTTAGTTCCTTCAGCCTTTGTTCCTTTGGATGTGTCCAGCAAAATGCCTCCCTCTCTCCTAGCAGGTGGAATAAAGTCTATATTAAGCTACCTTGGCTCTGACTACCTGGGTCATGTGCCCATTAGTAGATGATTGGAGGAGAGAAGGGGCTTTGGAAGTTATCATCAGTCCAGATCCTCCTGAGACCCCGCTGTGAACCCCAGCCCTGATGAGATCCAGGAGGTGGGGAGAGCCCTGGGTGTGGAAGCTGATCCCTGTCCTGCACCTGTTCCTGCTCCTGCCCTCCCTCACACCCTTGATAGATTGATTATGGGGCTCCTTAAGGCAGCCGCTCCTCACCATCCTGCTTCTCCTCGTTCACATTTATTTCTACTCAAGAAAAATAAATGTTGAAAGCACAATTGAGATATTTCAAGCAAATATAGAACCTCACTCCAAATATGTTGCAGAAACACCACTGAGCAAACAAACTACTGGGAAGCACAGCTTAGAAACAAACAGCAGCTGCCACCGTTTATGGGCTGTTTTTTTTCCTTTTCCTCATTCCTTTCTAATTCTGTTTGTAATAAAACCTGCTGCTCTAATGGCCTAGTCGTTTAACAACTGAAGTTTTTCTTCCCCATCCTGAGGCCTCCCAGGTGGCCCTGTCTGCGTCTTGCAGCTCCGGGGTGTTGGTGGCCTCAGAGGTCTGGTTCTTTCACAATGTTTTCTTGTGGTTCTGATGGAACATTGTCCACATCTGCCTGGATCAGGTGGGACCTCACTGGACCTTCTGCATTGTTGATTTTCAAGGACATGAGCCCAGAGTGTGCTCTTTTTCACATCACACTTTGTGAGAGTGGGTAATGGGCTCTCCAGCACTTCCTCATGACAAAATGCTTACTCTTTTTTTTTTCATTTACTTTTTATATAGAATCTTCAAAGGCACATAGCCAAGAACCTTGAATTTAAAGACTCTACATCAGACTCTTTGCCTACTTTCCCCATTTAAAGGCTACTGGTGCGTGGAAGTCCTCAACTTACAAACGATTACTCTTAGGTGTTAATAGATTGTTGCCTGTGTGCGAGTCATTGTGTTGGCACTTCTCTTCACAAGGCTTCAGCAAGGTGGAGGACAGCACTGTTTTATAGGCTCAAATATTAAGTTGCTCCTCCAGGCTCCCCCAGGCTCTCAGGCTCCCACAACCAGCCAGGACAAAGCTGGTGTTCAACCCAGGTCTGTCCATAGCTCAGGTTGCTTCCCTCCTGCCTCAAGGCCACCCACCACCATAATATATGTTAGTGTTCACACGTGTGTTCACTCAAGATGGGCTAAGATTTGCAGTCTTTTTTGTGTCTCRGAGCATTTTTAAAAATTAGGTGCTTAACAATTAAGATCTCACGTTAAACTGATTTTTTTTAAATGTCATTAGACTTGGCAGAATAGTTGCTACTGTGTTGACAGGATGACAGCTGGATCCCAGCTAAGTCAACTCTCCCCCGCTCCTCTTCCTTAGCCTCACCTAATGGTGCATGACTTCTCCAGTTTGGCTCACGCCCCAACGGGGCCACTTTACTCATTTGCTTCTCTCGCTTGTCCTTTGTAGGCCTTTAAGTTTGTGACTTGATTTATACCTTTAAAGAAGCTATTTCTTTCCAGTTAGGAATCAGTAGAGGTAAAAGTCAATTTCTGTCTCTGAGTTGAATTTTATAGGCTTTGATATTTTTCTTTTGAACTGTTTGGAATTGTAATTCAGTAATAATAGCTGTAATTATTGGACATTTACTGAGCACTTCACATTTAACTGATTCCGAGGGTTTGCAGACACCTGTTTTGGTGATAAGAATGCACATAATTCTCCAATTTAGTATGTACTCTTAAGTCCTGCAGTTACCCTTCATGTACTGCAAAAGCATGTTTGGCAAGGGCAGCATTATAGAGAGGGGAGATGAATCCAGAGAATAGCATTCCAAGAGAGTTAAGTATGTTGATAGTATTTTCTTTTGGAAGCTTTTGACTCTCATAGGTAAGATTGCCCCAAGATGCAGGAACATCCTCCAATGTTCACCACAGTGTGTAGACATTTCAAGAGAAATAGCCTAAAGAATTGGAAGTGCCTCAGGATGATGAGTCTTTCATTTTATATTGTTTACCTGGAAGTATATTTTCATTTGCTGATGAGAAACATATTCTTCATATTGTTTTAATAGAACAAATGCCTCTTTCTGTCTGATTTAAACCCATTTTGGAGAAATGTGAAATAGAAACAAAATGGAATTTGATTGACTTCATAGTTGCTGCTGAATTAAATATTTAAAATTTTGATAATATTAACATGTGAGAGCCCCCCCCCAAACTAAAATTACTTACTTATTTCTTTTAAGTTTTTGCTTTTTAAAAAAATTTTTAAAAGATGTTGATGGGCCTTTATTTTATTCATTTATTTATATGCAGTGCTGAGAATTGAACCCAGTGCCTCACACATGCTAGGCAAGTGCTCTACCACTGAGCCACAACTCCAGCCCCAAATATTTACTTTTGATTAAGAAAATACCTGGAATATTGCTTTGAATATTTGTTTGTTTGTTTGTTTGTTTATTTATTTATTTATTTTCCAGGACCCTGCAGGGATCTTTGAATTGGTGGAACTTGTTGGAAATGGAACGTATGGGCAAGTTTATAAGGTAAGAGCATTGACCTTGACCATGGCTTATGTGTGACTTTGGTTCTTGAATGCGGAATGGTAATGTTGTCTGTACTTGCTCATAAATGCCTCACAACAGATGTAGTGAAATAATATACTTGTCACTCAACGCTGTCTTTTTAAATATATCTATAGTCATGTTGCCTGAGCTGGATCCTGTGACTTGGGCTTTTCCCCTTATTATAGATTACTGTGTTTGCATCTGACACATGAATTTGGATGCCCCAGAGTTGGAACTTAGGTGGTTAGTTTCCTTTACTTCAAGCACTGCCAGAGTTGGTTTTCAAAGGAGCAAAGGATGCCATTTACTTTAGAAATTTAAGCTATTAGACTCTGGCAGCTGGGAAAGTAGATTTGTTTTAGGCCTAGGGCACACGTTAAATGAGTTTAGCGATCAGTATTAGAGGAAGACTGGCCATCTCACAGGGCTAAGGTCTAACGGCAGCAATGAATTTTACAAGTTAGGAAATAATTAAAGTTAAACTTGGAATTGAGCTTCTGTCCTTTTACTAATTTTTGCTTTCTAATTCACCCCCAAAATGTTTTTAGAATGTATTTTTCCCCCAATAAATGATCTAAATTTTTTTTAATATGGATTGATTTTTTTTTTTTTTTTGATTATCAAAAGAAAATGCAGGGGCTGGGATTGTGGCTCAGCTGTAGAACCCTTGCCTAGCATATGAGAGGTCCTGGGTTTGATCCTCAGCACCACATTAAAAAAAAATTAAATAAAGATTGTGTCCAACTATAACTAAAAAATAATTTTTTTAAAAAAGAAAATGCAACTGAACTGTTTTTAGACTAAAATTTTAGGGATTTTGGTCAATGAACTCTTGAAATGCCTTCAAAACAAACCAGCTGTTTCCTCATGATTATTTCTAGGGAAATAGCCATCATTTCCCTAGTGGTAGTGATATGGGACGGCATTTCCATTACAAATTATCTCTTATTGGTCTATTTTAAAAAATTCCTTCTCTGAGCCCTAAACTTCTCTTAGCTGATTAAAATTATTATAGAAGTCAGATTGCAATATTTCCAATTCTGTAGAATATCAATAATATATGTATAAGATGTTCTTGAGAATCTGGTTTTTAAAGTGCAATTATGAGTAAGTACACAATTTATGCTCCTATCTGGAGGGACTATTTGGTGTCCACTCCAGGGGAACATTTTTTCCTTGCAAATAACAATAATTTCCTAAAACGTCAACCCCCTACAATTAGACAAAGTGTAGTCTACCCAAGCTGTTCACTTGATGTTGATCTTGTCTGACACAGAAAGGAATGTGTCTCGGCAAATGCTTTTAAATACTTTCAATGAAGATAATTAGGTTGGAAGATTGTGTTATTGCATTTCGAGAAATTGGATTGAACTTGTGAAGTAATGTGGCTAATGAATTAAGGTCTGATTTAGGTAGAGAATTACTTCTGACTCGCCGTCAGTGAGGAGGAGCTGCTCTGCAGCAGGCTCTTGGTTTGATGGCGCCACTTCATAGAGCCCTTTCATCATGGGGTGCCTCCCACCTGTACATCTGGGAGATAGTTCATGTGTTTGTCCACTAATCCAAGAGGTGGAACTGTATGCTCCAACAAAGGGTTTTGAGAATATTTGGAAAATCCAGAATTATCCCTAATTTCATGTCACCTAATGAGGAACAGGGAAGGAGTGGCAAGAAGACTCAAATCTTATTAAGGTGTTTAGCAACTGGGTCGTTAATGTTAGTATTCTGCAGGGTTCCATTCTCTTAGTGGTTGACCCAGTAACTGGCACCTTCCAAGTGAAGGGGAGGCCCTGTAGTGTATGGTTGTGGAGAACGCACTGGACTTTGTGGACAAGAGATGTGGTCTTTTTTTTACCAGTCCCATTTGCTGTTTTGCGGCCATTGCCGATTTCTGTGCTTGAGTCAAATGAGAATGTCGTCTGAGATGCTTTTGGGACTTCCGATGATTGACCTAAAGAGTTCTGTCTCCCCATGTAGTTAAGGGTTGGGTTTCTAGGCTGCCAGGTGATATTAGGTGGCATTACTCATGAACAGAGACACCTGTGCTCACTGAGGACAAATCCAGAGTGCTGAAAGACTAAAAGAGCAGATCTGAACTTTAAAAAATGAGATCCTAAAAAAAATGAAATCAGGAAGTGATTTTCTTCATACTATATGTTTTATAACTTTCACGGAGTACATATTTCTAAAATACTACAGGCATAACCGAGGCTTTATTATCTTAGGAGGGGGTCCTTATATTTAAAAATATGATAAATATTTTCTTTACATTAAATATTAAACTTTTTGTTTTAATTTTTTGCAAATTTACCTTTCAGAATTCCTGGTTTTCACTAAGTGAGGTATAATTTTATGAATAAACTGGTTGGATATGACCTTTATTTGTGGAAACATTTATCATACTTTTTAAATAAGCTGCACTATGACAGTCATAGTACACATTTATTTTCAAATAGTTTTTAAGAAACCTACTTCATACAATAAATAAAAACATAGTTATTAAGAGAATATTTCCTGAATTATATCCTGATACAACTGGATTAGAAATATAGATATTTTGTAAAAATGTGTTGTTTTTCAAAATTGTCTCTAGTCTTTCTCCCAAGTCTAGCTCTTGGTTACCTGTTCTTGGAAGACTAGATTTGATTCTCTTTAGCATTTTGGGTCCTGAGTGATCAGGTAGCAATTTGGGATTTATTATTGTTGTTTGCTTTTTACTTATCTGCTAGACAGTCTAGATAAATATAATGAATAAAGATTGTCTATCAGGACTTTTAATGCGGAAGCTGTCTTTATATATTCATGGCTCCCACTAAAAAACAGACCAACACAAAACCACATACCTGTTTGTAGAAGGTCTTGGTTATTGGTTGGCATGTCACCTATAGGGAACCTAATGGACTCTGGACACATTTTTGGTAAAATACAGTAATTATTTTAATAAGTTAAAATGATTGTTTAATGTTTACTCCCCAAAACACCATTTCAGATTAACCATTTAAAATGAATGTTGGTCTATCCTGTTTCTTAATTGCCCTTTTGAAATATATATTTTATTACAGAATACGATGGATTCCTCAGCACGCCTCATGCCTCTTTTCAATCCCCTTTAATGCTGTCAAGTGCACAATAGAGAGGCCTTCTTGGTAGCTACAGTGCTTGAAAGAGAGAGTCACTGGGAGTATAGGCCAACCATGGGGCATCTCGTCTAGTTGTTCCCCTGCCCACTGGCTGTTTCCTTGGTCACCTTTGACCAGGTGGAACTCATTGCCTCCCAATCAGTTCATTTGCTGGCAACTTCTTTGAATGTTCATTACCATACTGAAGTGAAATTTTGCCTTCCTGAAATGTTTACTATTTTAACCCATTTCATAAAATTGGAGCTACATAAAATTTAAAATGAAATCTTCTGTAAGAACTTCACCCCCTCATCCCAAATATATGCTTGTATCTTCTTTCCTCCATCCACTTACAGCCCCAGTTGCTTAATTCATTCTTTATATGACATAGATCTGAGGCTCTATATTATTCCAGCTTCTGTCCTAAAACTTTCCTAATATTTTTTACTAAAAATTGTTTATACTTGTCCATAGTTTTTCATTTTATGAAATCTTTTTGTATATATCATTTAATTTCCATCATAATTTCACAAGAACCTTGTTCTCACCTCAGGTTCATTACAATTACAGTTCCCTGTGCTTCAAACACTTCACCCCCAGCCCTCTCAATATGGCCTCCTCCTTCAGGTCTCTCTTCAAATGTTCCTCCTCAAGGGAGCCACCTTTCATGCCTGTAGTGGTTAGAGCCAGCCACTGCTTCTTCCTCCCTTTGTCCTAGACTTGTAATATCAACTGTCATGTTAACTAAAGGACTGCTCTCTGGATGATTTTACTTCTTTGTTTATGCATGTGCCAAGCAATTTAAATACATAAATGGGCAAAACAAGGGTGAGGCCTACTCTGTTTAGTTTGTACTGTTTTTCTAGAAAGTTCTTTTTATATTTGTTTCCAGTTTTATCAACATTTCTCATAAAATATTAGTCTGCTTACTTCATAAAACCATATTTGCCCAAAAGTAATCAACAAAATGCTCGGTTTTTATGGTGGGAGATGGATATGAATTTTATATTAAATTAATTGTCAATAATCTGTATGCTGGGAATTTACAAAATAAGTCAAGACAGTCTTGTGGAATTCAGTCTCCTCATAGCAGTTCTCATACTTTGCTGTGTAAAATGAATATTTGGGAAAGTATTAAAAAAGTAGATTTCTGCAGCTGGGGTTATAGCTCAGTGGTAGAGTGCTTGCTTAGCATGCATGAAGCACAGGGTTTGATCCTCAGCACCAAGTGAAATAAAGTTATCATGTCCATCTACAACTAAAAAAAATATTTTAAAAAATGTAGATTTCTAGGCCCCAAACTCTGAAATTTAATTCAGGAGTTCTTGGGTGTGGTCCAGGGATGTGTACTTGTAATAAGTGCATAGGTTTATTCTGATGTTCAAGGCCCTGAGACCAACACCCCTAAAGACTTTGCATACATGATTGTCTCTATTCCTGTAGTAAGGTCGTTTGAGTGAATGCTCAGTCTAATACTTTTTTGATCATTTACTTTAGAATTTCTAAGCTGATTCAGACTTGCAGAAATTGAGAAAAGGGGTGAGGGGAGATCTTGACCTGAGATGTGATACTGACCAGTTCTGCTTCACTCATTCAGAGATTGGACTTTCACTGTTTTTATTTGACATGCCTGTGATTACAGTTTAAGGTTATTCTTGAGTAATTCACCCCAAAACCAGAGAATCAATACATTGTCAAAACTGACCTGGTATGGAAGAATTGGGAATTGCCTGTTGCATGAGATTTCCTCAGATTTGTGCACTGTGATCTCTTCATTAACCTTCTGTTTAAAAACAGAGAAAACATTTTGATAGTAAGCTTATTGCTTGTCTTGACAGGAGGGTAATTCTGCGGCATTTC